CAAAAATGTCTTCCCATTTTTTCCCCTTTAAACTTTGGAGCCTGTAGAAGATAAGCAACAGCATGTGACACAGGACATCGGACTCTGCCCCAAACAGCAGTGTGCTTTTCTTCTGTGGGCATCTGTTGGGTTCTAAACAGATCACCCATGAGCACCTCCTCCTCAGGGGTGTGGGCAGGACCAGGGGCAAACCACTGACCTTGAGCAGCCGTGTGGGGAAACCCCAGCAGGTGAGCCAGTGGCACCAGGGTTTTAGGCTGTTGGGGTGGCACACCCTAGCTGGGGTGGGCCCTTTGATGGAAACAGAAGGAGACATCTTAACAATGCTGCAGATGCCAACCAGGCCCAGGAGACAGCACTCGCTGGTTAGGTGCCCCAGATCCCGCGGGGCAGGGATGACACAGACTCAGGAGGGACGTGGTGGCCTGGCTACTCCTGACAGCTGGGCTGACTGGAACCAGGCATTGACTTACCTCTGCTGCACCTGATGATGCCTTGAGGCCACAGGAAGAGCACCCAGAAGCCCCCCAGCCTCCCCGGCAGTGGATCACTGGTGTGGAAATGCAGGATGCAAGACCGGTGCTGCTCCCTGTAAACCTGACTGGGTGGAAGGCCTGAACACGGAGGAGCCAGGGCCCCCGGACAAAGGAATTTGTCATCTTGGAGCCTGTTGTGATCAGGAAAGGTCCTGCCCGGCATTAACCAAGGATCAAAGCCAAACGGGTTTAAAAAGCAAGAGGGAATTGATTTCATGGCCAGAGAATATTACTGGGAAAAGAGTTTACAAAGGATGTGACGTAAAATTGTGTCGGAATCCCACTAAGGAAAAAAAGAGCCAGGGCCTCTGTGGAACCATGCCGTCTCCAATCCGGAGCATCGTAGACCAACATGTGTCTTCTGTTCTCACCAGAGGCCCCGCCCAGGTAGGGTCTGTTACCCTATCCCCCCAAAACCCCTATGTTCCCATCAGGTTCTCCTGCTTGGCTTTCCCCTTGTGGCTGTTCAAGGTCAATGTTTGCCCCTGGCCCCGCCCACCAACCCCCAGGATCACACCCCTGAGGGAGAGGTGCTCAAGATGCTCTGGGCTCACGTTTCCAAAGGGCACCGAGAGGCATCTCCAAGGAGAGCATCAGATCGGGGAGCTGAGGCCTGGGGACTATGTGCCTATGAAGTACAGCGCAGAACTATGTCTGGAGCAAGAGAAATGCAGACCTGGCCACCGCATTAGGCCAACAGGTAGTCACAACAGCTGGCATCTATGACACACCTACTTGGAGCCAGGTGCTGTCCCAGGAGACTGTCACACACTGATGTCACCCTCCCCAGTTGTATGGAATGTCACTCTTGGCTGGGAGAGGTGAGGTGACGGCGATTGTCTGCCTGAGGTCCCGGCTGCTTCTCTCCAGAACAACAGCAGCTGCTGGACACTGCGTGGGGCCCCAGCAGGAGGACCCAGCACATCCCCTTCTGTCCCCATGCTTTATGCAGAACGTGCCAGCAGAGCCATGACCACTTGAAGACTCGCTGTGTGTGTCATTCTGAATGCCCTCCGTTTGTGGTGTATCTTGTTCTGTGTGTCAAGGTCAAATCAAGCTCATGGTTTTAGGCAATCCCTCTGTTGCTGATCTTTCACCGTTTCCTGAGTTTCTCAAATCTCCTCCTGGTTTTCCACTCTGGTTATTTTTATTTTCAAACTCTGTATCTTTTTGGTCATTGCTTGTGATTTAGAGGAAGGGAGAGGCAGTGTGTGCTCATTTTACCTTACTGCACACGCTAAATTTTAGTCAAGACAGCCAGATTGTACTCCAAATAGCAGTCTGCCATCTTGAATTCAAAGTCCAGGATCTTTAAAATTTAAATAGATGAGACCTGTAGAACATACTGGAAGCTTTGCAGTCCCAGACAGGTGAAGGGACAGAAAATGTGTAGCCACTTCAAAAGGGTTCATCCTAAGAAGTCCTGGGCAAGTGTGTCCTGGGTGCAGATATTGTAAGATAACCATTGGTCACTGGTGGAAAAATATTGTCAGCGGAAGAAGAACTAAGACTGTCAGAGGCAGGCAAATGCTGTGCTTGAAGTCTGATGCCAGTCCTTCGTGAAATGAAGGAAGAGTGTATTAGGTAAACATTGAGAAAGGAAAGTGGGGACCCCAGGTGCCCACACATGAGTTCATAGCCTCAGGCACTGTCTCAGAAGTGGTCAGTTCCAGAAAAGAAGCCCAGAGAACCAGATACCATCATAATCAGGCACCCCACCCCCAAATTCCATCAGTCCTCAGCCCTCTTCTTTTCTTGAACTCTCAGGGGATTTGACACACCGATCTGCCCTCACTTGGGCTATCACCACCAGGTGTTCAGACACAGGGTCTCCTGGTCCCTCAGCACCTTTGCTGCTCCTTCTCACCTCCTCAGGCTCTATCCACTGGGAGCTCCAGGGCTCAGCTCAGGACCCGTCTCTTCCCTGCTTGGTGATCTCGTCCCAGTTACCTGAACACTGGTGATGACACCTTTCTCCCCAGCTGACACCTCAGCCCTTGGCTCGGGGCTCAGGTTCCCAGGGGCCCGCACATCTAGTTCAGTGTTCCTCCAAGCCAGGGTGGGTTGTCAGCACTGTAGCAATGGATGCTTGAGAATGCAGATCCTTGGGCCATGACAGCCCTGGAGTCCAGACCTGTAGGTCGCAGGTGTGGTCGTGGACACGTTATCAAGTTCCCGGGGGATTGATCTGTGCTGTGGTCTGAGGACTGCTTCTAGTACTCATCTCAAACTTCTAGAAAAAAACCCGATGCTCTTTCCTGGTACAACCATGACAGACTTTCCACACCACTCTCAGAGAAAACAGAAACCCCAAACCCTGAGCTAAACTGAAATTAACAGGGCCATCCTGACATGTTCTGGTTCCCATAACCAATAGTTCCTGCAAACCAATACTGAGTTAAAGCAGTATTATCCCTAACTTCTGCTGAGCTGATGTACCAAGGTAAATTGTGACCTTGAGGACTAGGGATAAGTGAGAAGTAGCTCCTTTTCCATCACAGACAGATGAGTATGAACTTGAACACCTTGTAAAGTTTGTATGGTTTTCCTTAAACACGTGTTGGGTTTGTGTTTGTTGAACAGGTCTTTGAGAAGTTCAGCCTCCTTGCCTTCTCTCTGGACAAACCCAGCATGTCCCAAGCAGGCTTCCCCCATCCCTGGTTCTGTGAAGGCCACCCCACTTGGAGTCTACCTTGACTCTGTGGTGTCTCTCACCGCACCCACCTACAAATCCTGCCTGCCCCAGCCCCTGAAGCTCAGCGGGTCCAGACAGCACCCCCTCTCCCCAGATTTCTACAACAGCCCTCACCCCTACTGCTCTGTCCCTTCTCCCTACAGGAATTCTCCAGTCAGGAAGCCAGTGAGCCTGTTAAAGTGTGAGTCAGACCAGGGCCCTCCTCTGCTCAGAAACTTCCACCGGCTCCACGACTTAGAGAAGAACCTGATGTTCTCTAAGGATCCCAGGGCCCTCCCCTGCCCACTGGACCTGTCACACTGGGCCTCACGTCCCACCCCTGCCTCTCACTAGTCCCCACCACACCAACCATGCTGCAAGGCAGGGCCCTCCCTTTTGCTCTCTCTCCTCCTGGAAAGAACCCCCCCCCCCCCCACTTCCCTGGGCCTCAGTCTTTGTCCCTTGTCCCCAGGGCTTTGAAAGCTTCTCTGGTTTCTACCTGGGCAACCACTTCTAGCCCTCTCCTTCACATGAGCACACAGGCGTGAGCCACATTTACACTCGTGCATGTTGTCTCTTGTCTGTCACCTTCCTCTGGAATGTAAGTGCCATGAAGGCAGGCCACTGGCCTGTTTTGTCCTCTTTGATCGTTGCTACATACCCAGCACTTAGAAAACGACCTGAGCTGCCTTTCAGCCAAAATGACCAACACAAAGGGAAAGAGGAGAGGTACTCGCTATATGTTCTCTAGGCCTTTTAGAAAACATGGAGTTGTTCCTTTAGGAACATACACACAAATCTACAAGAAAGGTGATATTGTGCACATCAAGGGAATGGGCACTGTTCAAAAAGGAATGCCCCAAAAATGTTACCCAGGCAAAACTGGAAGAGTCTGCAATGTTACCCAGCATGCTGTTGGCATTATTGTAAACAAACAAGGGCAAGATTCTTGCCAAGAGAATTCATGTATATGTTGAGCACGTTAAGCAAAGAGCTGAGACAGCTTCCTGAAGCATGTGAAGGAAAATGATCAGAAAAAGAAGGAAGCCAAGGAGAAAGGTACTTGGGTTCAACTGAAGCACCAGCCTGCCCCACCCAGAGAAGCACACTTTGTGAGAACCAGTGGAAAGGAGCCTGAGTTGGGAACCCATTCCCTATGAATTCATAGCATGATAAATGTAAAAAAAATAAGACTTTTCAAGACTGTAAAAATGTTTCTTTTTATTTTAATTTTTTTTTCCAACGTTTTTTTATTTTTATTTTTGGGACAGAGAGAGACAGAGCATGAACGGGGGAGGGGCAGAGAGAGAGGGAGACACAGAATCGGAAACAGGCTCCAGGCTCCGAGCCATCAGCCCAGAGCCTGACGCGGGGCTCGAACTCACGGACCGCGAGATCGTGACCTGGCTGAAGTCGGACGCTTAACCGACTGCGCCACCCAGGCGCCCCTAAAAATGTTTCTTTTAATTGAGTACCAGCTTGGTATCTTCTCCCCCGAAGAAGTATTTAAAGCAAACTTTAACTATGTCCAAATTCATTGGGTGATGGCTTTATTCAAATTTTGTGGGTTTTGAGACACCTGGATGACTCAGTTAAGCATCTGACTTTGGCTCAGGTCATGATCTTGCAGTCCATGAGTTTGAGCCCCGAGTCAGGCTCTGTGCTGACAGCTCAGAGCCTGGAGCCTGCTTTGGATTCTGTGTCTCCCTCTCTCTCTGCCCTCCCCTGCTCGTGCTCTGTCACTGTCTCAAAAATAAACATTAAAAAAAAATATGTGGTGGGGGTTTTTTTGCTGAAAGATGTGAAGTGGTTTATTGTACAATATACTCAATTTATTAGGAACTGCCAGATAGTACTTACAAAATATTTAATTGTAGTTTGAAAATAGTCCCTCTAAATCACTAAGAAAAAAGAATTTTAAAAAACAGATGAAAGGTTATCTGTTGAGATGGCATTTAAGCACGGAAAGTTGAGTACTTGTAATTGTATCAGGTCTTTTTTCTTTTTTTAATTTTTTTTTTTTAACATTTATTTATTTTTGAGAGACAGAGACAGAGCATGAGTGGGGAAGGGGCAGAGAGAGAAGGAGACACATTATCCGAAGCAGGCTCCAGGCTCTGAGCTGTCAGCACAGAGCCCGACGCGGGGCTCGGGGCTCAGGGCTCGAACCCACAAACTGTGAGATCAAGACCTGAGCGGAAGTCAGACGCTCAATTGACTGAGCCACCCAGGCAGCCCTGTATCAGGTCTTAAATAGCTATGTTTTAAGGATAAAGAACTTCCTTTTGAAGCCTATTACTTAAAAAGATTGTTTAAGCACTCTGGTTCCTACTAAATTATTTTCCCTGTCATGTCCTGTTAAGTGTTTTTCTATGTGGTGTTAGGAAAAATTTATTTATTGGAAATGCTCTTTGTTGGCCCAGGTCCTTTGCACTTGCCTTTGCCGGAGACTACCTACACTTTCTAAAGTTGGTGAATTTCTGATTGTCCTTTGTTCACCTTGCATGTCATAAGGGAACCTTCCCTGATGCATTTAAAAAAAAATTTTTTTTAACGTTTATTCGTTTTTGAGACAGAGCATGAATGGGGGAAGGTCAGAGAGAGAGCGAGACACAGAATCTGAAACAGGCTCCAGGCTCTGAGCTGTCAGCACAGAGCATGACGCGGGGCTCCAACTCATTGACCGCGAGATCATGACCTGAGCCGAAGTCAGACGCCCAACTGACTGAGCCACCCAGGTGCCCCTCCCTGATGCATTTTAAGGAGAGAAATGAAACTGTTGGAATCAAAGGAGAAAGTCTGGTTTGGGATGATAGAATTAAATCCCTTATATCTGTTACCACGGGAAAAAAACAAAAACGACTTGAGCTTGGTGGTGTTCACAGGCTGAGGGGACTGGGGGAGCAGCTGCTTGGTGAACCCCAATGCTCTCTGGGGGGGTTTGTCTTGTTCAATACATCAAGGGATTGTTGGAAATGCTGTAAGTGCTAGACGATCAAAAACTAGGAGGGTTCACTCACATGATGGTGCCTAAATCAAGTTTAAAAATGGTCTTGACAGTTCCAGTGCTCAGCTAAAACCACCGGATGGAAGTTGGCAAAGAGAAATGTCAAGTCCTGAGTTTAGGTTCAGAAAAGAAACTACGTTAGCAGTAGCACAGCTGCCCGATTTAAGTGAAAAGGGCTCAGTGTGAGCCCAAGGTGAGACGTGGCCAAGTGCAGGCTTGCGTTCTGCACGTGGAGTCAGGACTCCGCCTCCACGCATGGAGTCAGGGCCCACTGCCTCCTGTGGAGTTAGGTCCTCTGGCGCTTGGAGTCACACCCCCGCCCCAGCGTGTGGAGTCTAGGCCCCGCCCCCTGGCACGTGGAGTGAGGGCCCCGCCCCCTGGCGCTTGGCGTCAGGGCTCCCAGGTGCATGGAGTCTTAGCCGTGCCTCCGCGCGTGGAGTCTCGAGTCTCGCCCGGTCCCCACGCATGGAGTCTAGGCCCCGCTCCCAGGCGCGTGGAGTTAGGCCAAGCAGGCAGCAACGGAGCTGCAGGAACGTCACCCTCACTTGCAGGCGTCATGCGGGGGCCACATGCAAGGACAAGGCGCTGAGTGAGAGCGAGCTGAGGGTCGAGACACCCACAGGGGAGCACCTGTGAGCCGGTCGTACAGGAGAAGAGAGAAAAGGATGGCAGCCGGACTGACCAGGGCCGCAGAAACAACGAGGGAACCAGGCCTGGTCTCAAGGTGATGGAATTTTCTCTTCACCAGAACTGGCATGGAACAGGCACTGCAGGGGCTGAGAGGGCTCACAGGGGCCTGGAAAGGGTTTCCCGGGCCGTCCCTGCTCAGAGAAAGCTCCAGGGAGTGTGGTCCCAGGGCGAGTCCTGGAACTGCATGTAGGGGCCCCACCCAAGCGGACAGCGCTGACTCCGGAGATGTCTGTCCCCTCCCTCCCAGAGGCATGGAAAACAAGGGGGGGCCCTGGGGCTGGCAGAGGCGCTGAGGGGAGAGGGACGAGGGAAGACAGACACAGGCAGCCATCACTTTATTTTTAAGAGGAAACGCACAGCAGCAGGCTCACGGACAGGACCTTCCGGGTGTTTTGAACTCATACATTTGGTATATTGGCTAACTTAGGTTGCTCTGCAAAATGAGGAAGAGGCTGCATCCTGTTCACAAATTAATGCTTATTCTAAACAGCAACCTGCCCTTTGGGCTTTTTTAGAACTTTGGACGGAGCTCCTGGAGTCCTCCATAGATGGCTGAGAAGGGCTGTTCCCACCCCAGGTCCAGCATGAGCCCCCCACATCCCGGAGGTCTGGTAAGGGGGGTGGGGGCCGCGCCCACCAACCTCTGCAGCCCAGAAACCCGAAGGGGGTGGAGGGTCATGGTGTCTGGTAAATTCAGGGTATACACAAGTTTGGCAAGAGTAGCTCAGAGGTCAAGCCGCATGCCAGCCCCGGAACATCACCCTCTCCACAGTCCCCTGGAAGCTGAGTCCCAGGCCCACGGCACCTCTGGCCTTTCCAGGTGCTGTGCTGGGGTGGCCTCAGGACCTTAGTTTCGGGGGAGGTTTCTGTTCCTCAGAGTGGGCACTGCCTCCCAGAAGGTCACTCTGGAAGGGAGCCCTGAGAACTGAGCTGCCCTCCAGGGGAGTGAGTCCAGGAGAGGCGGTGCCCCAGGGCTGTGGTCAGTAGGCTCTGTGCCCTGCTGTCCTTGCCTATAAGCTTCTCAGATCTCACCGTCAGTGCGTGGCGCCATGGATGGGGGTGTGGGCTGCTGAAAGTGAGACCCAACTGCTTGGGACAGGTCTCGGAGGGAGCACCATCAGGCCCCAGTGGAAGGAGATGTGGATGGGGACTAACCCTGACCCCGGGGCTGGAAGCAGCCATGGGAGGATCAGCCTGCCCCTGCCCCCTGGACAGCAAGCAGAGGCCACCGCCCCCAGCGATGTGTGTGTCCATCTGGGTCAGGTGCCCTGTCTTGGGCCACAAACCCCGGGGCTCATGTGACAGGATGGGACTATTTGGTGATGGATGGGTGGACAGAAGCATTGCCAGTGTTCCCAGGGCATCCATGGAAACCCAAGCCCCAGAGCCCAGATCCCCATCCTAAAAGCCTCTCAGACCTGCTGTTCGGGGTAGCGCTGCCCCACCCTCATTCTGTACAGAGCTGGGGCCTCCCTCCCACCTCTAGATGGGATGGAGCCGCTCTCCGCAGGTTCTCAAAGTTGGCATTCTTCAGCTGTCCCAGCCCAGTGACAGCCAGTGACAGCTGAGCAGGAGACAAAAGCAGAGACAGGTGTAGGCTGCTGCCTCCTCTGCTTCCCCCTGCTCCCCCCTCTCAGGGCTATAAATACTCAGGATGCAAATGGTAAATGCTCTAGATGTTCATTATAAATTATAGGTGGATGATTGTGAATCTTTAGGCCATGAGGCCCCTTGGGGAATATTTCAGTTCTTTTAAAAAAAAGAAACTAACCTGATGGTCTAGGAGGTCCCCTTCATAGCCTGGCTTCTGTCTGGGAGAGGCCAGGGTATGGGGAAGGATGACTGGGGGTGGGGCAGGGGGCACTACCGCCCCTCAGTGAGTCAATCACAGAGGAAACGAATGACCTGGCTCAGGTCAAGGGTGACTCTGAGCCAGACGAGAGGGAGGGCACCTTTGTCCCTACTGTTAGGTTGGAATGTTATTCCGTGAGCATTATTACTTTACTGATATATTTTTTGTAATTAGAGCACGCGAGCCGAGAGAGGGGTGGAGGGAGAGAAAATCCCAAGCAGGCGCCATGCTCTGCGCAGAGGCAGATGCTCAACCCACTGAGCCACCCGGATGCCCCTTTAATGTTTTTTAACCATTTAAGAGACCAGTGATATTCAAAAAGTGTGTGTTGTCAGGGTGGGCGGGGGAGCTCTTCTATACTTGTTCCACACTCCTGCCACGGAGACAGGTTCTGCCTGCATACCTTCCGGCAGGAAGTCCTGCCTAAGGGATGTGGGGGTGTGTGGTGGGGGAGCTCGCAGTCATCTGAACAGACCCTGTCTGCAGAGGCAGGAGGCACAGGGCCCTGCCAGCCAGTCTGATGGAAACCAGCAGAATCACCATGTCCTTTCCCACGACACTGCACAGGGGTCAGGCCGAGGCATATGGGAAGCTGGTCCTATCCTCCAACCCAACCCTTCTCCATGTATGCTCTCCTACCACTGGGGCTTCTAGAATCCTGTTCAGTAATTGGGGGTGACCGGTCACCTTCCAGGAGGAGAAAAAGTCCCAGTTGTCCTGCATGGTGTCTAAACCATTCCCTTCTCCTTTTCCAGAAACTCCTGAGCAAACACCAGGCACTGGGATGACTTCTAATTTAATATTATAATAATAAAACCCACGGTGGTACAGAACCATGAGCTGCATTTTAAATTCCTAGGGCCACTAATGAGCACTGAACTCCTGCTGGAGCTGTTGTCAGGACAAACACACAGAATCGATGGCTGTGGCCGCAAAAATAAATGGAGCATGGCCTACGCCCACCGCAGCCATCACCAGCGACGGCCACCCTGACCTCGCAGCATCCAGAGGAACCGACCACCTGCACAGAAGGCAGGATTAAAAGGTAACACCAAAATGCAAACGCTAATGAGGAGAAACTCCTGGAAGGAGTTTAATTTTCTTTTCCTCTTTTCACACCGTTCTTCCCTGTCCAAAGGGAGGTTCTTGATCGAAGCCTGCGGTGGGGAATGTCTGCTCCCTCTATTACCCAGTGGCCCTGGCACACACCATGCTCTCCTTTTTATTACAGATGATACCTTACTTTGTTTTCTTTTCCAAGTCTCTATCTAGAAAGAATAAGTGATTACAATTTTGTTATCTTCTAAAAAAAAAAAAAAAAGGTGAAGTTGATGGTTCAGATCCATCAGCACAGCGATTTGACAATTGGGGTGACAGTATAACTACAGAGCAATTTTTTGCACAATTGAGAACTCTTTTTTTTTTTTTTTTTGGCCAAGGAATCAGTCTAACAAACACATCCCACTCTTGCTGAAAATAATTTCTTTTCCCAACTCTTCTAGGAATAAAACACTTTTAATGTATTTGTCAGGAATCGACACTTCATTTAATAAGATTTAAAAAGTGACAATTTAAAGAGCAATTGAGAAGAATCCCACATTCATCACGGCTCATGGTTCTAACTAAAATCAGAAGAAAACCAGAAAAAGCACTGAGACCATGAGAAAACAAGCATCTGTGTCTGGGTGGGTGTGCGCACGCATCCTATTACAGCTGGTTCGGGTCCCAAGTGCTCGGCAGCAACCCCACCTTTCAGACCGCCTTGACCAGGCTGCCAGCCCCACTGGGACACGCCCCGCCTGGCCTGCTGTCACCCCGGCTGGCCCTCCCAGGAGCCACCAGAAGGTGAAGTCCATCCCCCCCCAAAGCCCCAGTGCGGTTTTTCACTCTCCTGAAAAACATGATCTAAGATGACGAGCAGGGGGTTCTGGCAGTGTTCTGTTTCCTGACCTGGGCAGTGGTTGCACAGTTTCTAACTGAGAAGCATCCCAGTAAAGGGCCAGGGGCCACAAGCACCCCTCTGTCTGTCTCCCCTGGGGGCCAGGCCTCACCTGGCCTCTCCTCAAACCAAACACCACCGGGGCTGCATCCTCACAGGGGTGGGGGAGCCACAGCCCCTCATCGGCCCTGGCCCCCTCATCACTGGGCCGTTTCCCTCCTCACACTTCACGGCGGAGTTAGCCTCCACCGCCTGTTGGGTTGAGGACTCTGTGGGTATCTGGGAATCCTTCCAGCTGCGTGCCAGGCTGTCTTATCTGCTCTCCCATTCAGCTCCCTTAGTCTGTTTAAGCTTCGGGCCATTTTGGTCTAGTTGGCTGCAGGGAGAAGTCCTCCGCAGGGCCAGCCAGGGCCCTGAATGCCAGTCAACTGGGGACCTCTTCTCGGCTGCCCACTCACCCCTCATTCCCCGGAGATCTGTGCTTCACCCGGCATCGGTCTGGTGCCACACACCTCCACCGGGCTCTGCAGGCCCCATCCAGAAGGCCCTGGCCCAGCCAGCAGAAGGAGCCCCTCCCTGCTCCCGGATCAGAAGGCCCATCACGGAGACGGAGCCCACTGGCCTGGTAACGGGAGGTAGACCAGAGCAGCTTCTGAGCTCTGTCTGTGTCCGCCTGGGGCCTCCAGTCGGCACCAGGAGACGGCGTGGCCAGCTGATGGCTTGCAGAGATGCCTTCAGGACCACCCCACCCCTCCCGCCCACTGTCATGTGTGATCGGCATGGCTTCATCTTCCCCTTCTTCCCTTACTGGATCACAGTCCGTTCTCTCAAGACCTCACAGCGACGTGTGGAAGGTGGGAACACCGATGGAAATCTGTGGGAGAGAGGAGGAGACAGGAAGCCGCTGGCTGGGCAAGGCCCAGATGTGGGTCTGGTGCTAAAGCCTCATGGTCTGTGCCTTTTCTGACGGGACGGTGAGCTGCCAGACCAGCGTGGTTACCTGTGCCTGGGATGGTGACATGTACCTCGTGGGGCAGTGGGGCTGCACGGTCTGGACGTAGAGGGTTGGAACCTTCCAGGTCCTCGCCAGCCTGCTCCCCTCTTCCCAGGTCAGCAGTGCCAGCCCCCGAGCCCAGGGACTCCTCTCTGGACAGGAGACTTCAAAGTTGAGAAGGAACCCTCGGAATGGATACTTTCCAAACATCGGAACTCAGCCCTTGCTGACTTATCGGGCTCCTCTGTTCTCGCTGGGCAGGACTGCGCTGCTGAAGGAAGTGCCGAGTGGACAGGAATTCTCCAGGCTAATTGGCAACCACGTGCTGAATGCTGACAAAGGCAGCGGCCAAGTCACAGAGGGCAGCCACCCACGGCAAGCGGGAGGCACTGCCATCTGTTACGGGAGCCTCCCTCCCCTCGCGAGCTGCCTGGCGCCCCTCAGGGGTGCTGTTCACCCCCACACAGTGGGGAAGGGGTCAAATGCATGGGCTGAGGGCAGAGGGGGACCCGGAGCCCCCTGTGGCACGAGCAGGGACGCTGGCCCCATGGTTTCTCCTTCCCGCCAACGTTCAAACAGAAAGCCCACCTAACTTAACTGTTTAATCATGCAGTTTGATGACCCCATGTTCCCATGTCAATAGATCACTCAAAACGAAGGTATACTGGGGAAAGCATTTAGTTAGTCGGGCCAGTGGTTCTGTGTACGCCCACAACAGACATCTTTCAGACACCAGAGAAGAGCCCCCATGAAAGCCCATCTTCCTCCAAGTGGGGTCACAGGGTGTGCAGAGGACCTGGGTGTGCATCTGGGGGACCAGAGGACCACGGTGCCCAGCCTGACCGAGCTTCCCGTGGAGTTGAGTGTGACAGAGCCCTCGGGTGAGCTCCGGAGATGAGTGAAAATCAAAAGGCAGTCTGATCAAGTTCCACGGGGTAGTTAGTGCTAGACTGAAAATTACTGAGAGACATGACAGAGCCAGATGAAGCGACGGCAGTCAGAGAAGATGGTCTCGAGGAGGATGAGGAGAAAAGCTTCTTAGAACGGCTTTTCCTTCCAATCCCCAGTTGAATCGTGTGGTCTGGGGGTGAAACACAGCAACCCCCGAACTGCAAAGGCCCAGTTTTGTGTTCCAGACACCGACGGGCAGGAGGGCTGCCCTCCCCCAGGCTCAGCTAACCTGTGGTGACTGGAGGGAGGGTTCCACCCAACTGGAAGCCGCTACAGACTTATATATATACATTTACATACGTGTGAACATTAAATTAGCGGGTGGCATAAGAACTAGTTCCTTGTCAGCCTCCCAAGCTTAGAGGCGAGGTACATTTCAGGAATGACAGGTGAGTCACTCAGGAACTCGAGTGACCATTAACTCCAGTGTCCTCGCACTGATTTGCTGTGTGTTTTCTTGAACTTCCTCAAAGGATTTTCCTGGTCAGACCGGGTGCCGTGATGAGCCGAGTCTCAGCCTCGCACAGGCCGTGTGCACAGTATCTCTGCTTCACCCCAGGCTTAACCGTTCAAAACCAAGGAAAGAAAATTACAGCATCAAAAGGGACTAAAACAAGTGATTTGCTGTTTGAGCATTTCAAGAAGAACTGGAACACCTATGATTCAGCAAATGGATGCTAACTAAGAAATAAAAAATCATTTAGTTGCCAGGGCGATGTGTTCCATGAAAGTAAACGCTCTACGGAAACCCATTTCCTACAGGGAGCCTCCAGGTAATAAAGGCCTAACATATTCTCCTCCGCTTGAGTGCTGGCGGGCCATTGCTGTATTCTGACACGGGCCTGTCTACCGCTTCCTCCTGTCCCCTTTGCCCGGGTTAGATTAGAGAGGTAGGGTGTTAATGGTGGGCTTGATGAAGATTGAAGACCCATTTTCTCCCCCTTGAGACCAGCCTGATTTGAACAAATTGAGGAGAACAAAGCAGCCCCTTTCTGTCCTTGGGAGAAAGCCTGTTCTGTGTCCGTTTTTGCAGCCAGGTCTGCTCCTCCCCGGAGGGGGAGAGGGGCAGTCCACAGAGATCCCTCCTGAGAGGACACCGGTTCTTGCCGCTGCCCCTGGGGCCCACCCACATCATTCCACATCTGTGCCCCGGTTACTGGTGCTGCCGGTTGGGAGAGCGGGAGACGGAGCCTGGGCTGGAAGGCAGTGAGCTGCCACCGGGGGCCTGCAGGGCGTGGGGGTCGAGCGGCGGCCCCACCAGGCTGGGGTCCCCCGTCCCCGACTCCTCACTGTTGTCCTCCTTCTGGCTGCTCTGCTGCTCTGGACACTCAAAGTGGACACAGTGGAACACCTGCAGAGAGAGAGCAAAGGCCGGTGAGCGACGGCCATTGTCCAGCCTCCGGAGGCTGCCGATGTCCTGCCGCCCCTGCGCAGACCTGGGACAGCGACTAACAGGTGACACATGGTTCAGTCAGGTGGGGTGAAAGTACATGGGCCGAGGGTCTAAAAGGTACAGCCAGCACGACATGGATTCCTATAGACTGTTCTCACCGGATGACTCCATTTTTGGTTACCTTCATCATATGAGCTCTTCTTTTTAAATTAATCCTTGCATTTGGCAGCAGGGTTAAAAGTCAACAGGGGTTGACTGGTGACGGCGCAAAACTGTAGTAAAACCCCCTGCATTGTACACTATAAATGGGTGAGTTGTATGGCAAGTGAATTATATTTCAATAAAGTTGCCCTTAAAAATAAAAAGCCAGCAGGGTGTCACCCTGGGGGAGGAGCAGCTTATCTCCAAGGGTCCAAGTGAGTCCCTCCCTCTCATGCTCTTCCTGTGCCCTCAGGAAGGGAACAGCTCCTGACGTGTAATTATCTGATGGGCAGCATTGCTGGGGAAGGGGCTTCACCCTGACGTGGTTTGGGCCAACCTAGAATGAACACCCTCACGTGGATTCTGGACTTCAAGCTGTTATTACAAAGCTGTAATCATCAAGGCAGTATGATACTGGCACAAAAACAGATACATCAACAGAACAGAATAGAGAACCCAGAAATAAACCCGCAACTAGATGGTCAATTAATCTTTGATGAAGCAGGAAAGATCATCCAATAGAAAAAAGACAATCTCTTCAACAAATGGTGTTAGGAAAACTGGACAGTTGGGGCACCTAGGTGGCTCAGTTGGTTAAGCATCTGACTTCGCTCCGGTCATGATCTTGAGGTTTGTGAGTTTGAGCCCTGCGTCTGGCTCTGTGCTGACAGCTCAGAGCCTGGAGCCTGGTTCGGATTCTGTGTTTCCCTCTCTCTTTGCTCCTTCCCTGTTCACTCTCGGTCTCTCTCTCAAAAATAAACATTAAAATAAAATTAAAAAAAAAAAAAAAGGAAACTGGACAGCAACATGCAGAATGAGATTGGACCACTTTCTTACACCATACACACACACAAAATTCAAAATGAATGAAAGACCTAAATGTGAGACCAGAAACCATCAAAATCCTAGAGGAGAACACAGGCAGCAATCTCTTTGACCTTGGCCACAGCAACTTCTTACTAGACACGTCGCCAGAGTCAAGGGAAACAAAAGTAAAAATGAACTACTGGGACTTCATCAAGATAAGAAGCCTCTGCACAGCAAAGGAAACAATCAACAGAACTAAAAGGCAGCCTATGGAATGGGAAAAGATATTTGTAAATGACATATCAGATAAAGGGTTAGTATCAAATATCTATAAGGAACTTACCAAACTCAACACCCAAAAAACAAATAACCCAGTTAAGAAATGGGCAGAAGACATAGATACTTTTCCAAAGAAGACATCCAGATGGCTAACAGACAAATGAAAAGATGCTCAACATCACTCATCATCAGGGAAATACAAACCAAAACCACAATGAAATACCACCTCATATCTGTCAGAATGGCTAGAATCAACAACACAAGAAATAATAGGTGCTTGTGAGGATGAGAAAGGGGAACCCTCTTGCACTGTTGGTGGGAATGCAAACTGGTGTGGCCATTCTGAAGAACAGTATGGAGGTTCCTCAAAAAACTAAAAATAGAACTACCCTATGATCCAGCAATTGCAGTATTAGGTATTTACCCAAAGGATACAAAAATACAGATTCGAAGGGACATATGCACCCCAATGTTTATAGCAGTATTATCAACAATAGCCAAACTATGGAGAGAGCCCAAATGTCCACTGACTGATGGATAAAGAAGGTGTGGTATATATACAATGGAATATTACTCAGCCATCAAAAATAATGAAATCTTGCCATTGGCAATGATGTGGATGGAACTAGGTGTATTATGCTAAGGGAAATAAGTCAGTCAGAGAAAGATAAATAGCATATGATTTCACTTATATGTGGAATTTAAGAAACAAAACAGATGAACACATGGGAAAGGGGGGAAAAAGAGGAGAGAGGGAAACAAATCACAAGAGACTCTTAACGATAGAGAACACACTGTGGGTTGATGGAGGGAGGGAGGTGGGGGGTGGGCTAGATGGGTGACGGGTACTAAGGAGGGCACTTGTGATGAGCACTGGGTGTTGTAAGTGATGAATCACCTGAAACCAATATTTCATTGTATGTTAACTAAGATTTAGATTTAAAAAAAAAAGGAAAAGAAACCCTCACATGGAAGAGCCGGCCACCCCCAGGAGCCAGGAAAAGGTTGCTACCTGGCAGCACGACCGAGTTCTGTACTCAGTGTTGGGCCAACTATTATGTGAACAGGGCACAGCACAGAGCTCAGCAAATAAGGGGGAGGCATGGCCGACCCTGAGAATACACAGCATGGGGTGTGTGTGTGTGTGTGTGTGTGAGAGAGAGAGAGAGAGAGAGAGAGAGCGCCTAACATACCCACTGTGAAACAGAAGGTGTGTGAGCTGGGGGTATAGTGACAGGGGACAGTCAGGAACTCTGTCAGAGGTGGGCCTTTGGGGAAGCTAACCTACACCCTCCCCTGCGCACACGGAAGTTCCTTTCTTCACTAACAACCATATCCTTCTGGGGTTCTAGCCCCCTGGGGCCTGCCCTGAACTCTTGAAGGGGAGGAATCACATCCTCTGCAGTGGTGGTCTCTGGTGTGGGGTACACAGATCCACTTTCCAAGGAGCAAGCTGGCGGTTCTGAGGGAATCCGTTTCCAGATCCTCAATATCTGTATTTTCCAACACTAAGAACATGACTGAATTCACAACACCCTTCCCCACCTCACAGAAGGAAAGCACAGCCCCCTCACCTGCCCTCAGCAAGGAGCCCTGACACCTCCTGGCCCCTCTGAGGGTGAAGACCCGCTCAAGTGTATTCGTGCCTCATGTAATTTTTTAAATGTAACTGGGATTTTTCCAGAACTAAAACATTTTCAAGATACACTGGCTAAGGCCCATGAGTAAAAGTTTTGCACAATGACTTTCAGATTTAGTATGCCTTATTTAATGAATTGGTTAAAATCATGTCACCAAATATTTATTCCTAGTAATTGGTCATCTTCCATCTTATAAAATGTTTATTTTTTAACCTATTTATAAAAATAATTGTATTTAAACTTAGTATCTCACTTCTCAACCTTAAATGTTCAAAGGATTACTTTTTTCCAAAGTTCTTTTATGGGATAAGTGAACAAAATGTTTGAAGGCCACGACTGCTGTACTTAGGAGACTCGAAGGGGAAGGGGAAAAAAAAGGGAGGGTGGCAAACCATAAGCGACTCTTAAATACTGAGAATAAACTGAGAGTTGATGGGGGGAGGGAGGGAGGGTAGGGTAGGTGATGGATATTGGACGGCACCGCTCGGGATGAGCACTGGGTGTTGTATGGAAACCAATTTGACAATAGATTTCATATTTAAAAAAAAAAAAAAAAAAAAAAAAGCTAATAGGCATGGCCTGGAGGGAAGGAGAGGGCATCTGGGGTTAGAAGTGTTCCAGGCAAGGGGAATAACACAGGGGAGGAAAGGGCCCAGTGATGTCGGAGGAAAAGATCCGAGTCAGCAGGGCCAGCGAGGTCTCTGGGGCAGGAACATCCCACGACATGCTCATCCCATGTCCCACAGAGCTGGGCCTGTACATCAGATCCAACAACAAAGACTGACCTCAAAAGGACCCGTGCTGGTGATGTGCTCCTGGGATATTTGAAAAGACTCATCTGGCAATGAGGGCAGGGTGGTCAGCTTGGGGCCCACACGCTGTCCTCAACAAGGGGTGAGAGCCTTGGGCGGGAGGTCAAAGAGGCCAAGGAGAGGAGTTACAGCCCATGAGGTGATTAAAGAGAAACACACATTGATCTTGGTTACTTGTTAGAGGTGAAGTTCGGCAAAGTGGGACAAATCCAAGAGGGGTCCCAGACTTCTGAGATGAGCTGGCACAGGAGGCTGGAGCCCAGGCATCTGGTGGAGCCCAGGCATCTGGTGGAGCCCAGGCAAGAGGGGCCGCACAGGCTCCCTGGGGAAACTGAGAGGTGAGGAGGGCTCTGGCAGTGGTGGATCCCAGCGAGAGGCAGGAGGGTGACGGGAAGGAGGCTATAGGGGCAGATGAAGCCTCACCTGGAATGGGGTTTAGGGGTGAGTCCCATTTTCCGAGGGGCCTGATGGCACAAGAGAGTCTTAAACAAACTGGTATGCTAGGCTGGGCTGGGACAGGAACTGAGGCTGGGGGACCGACGGGGCAGAAGCCCAGCCGCTAGATCCAAGCATCCTGGACAAACACCTCGTTCTCCCTCTCATCCCCAGGCTTCTGCTTAAAGAAGTAAGTGGTGAAATTTGTAAAGTCACCACTGAACTTGGCTGCAGACGCTGAATGTGTAACTGCTTTGTAGTGATATTCATGCGAAGGGCTGGTGGGAGCCTGGAGCCTGTGCAGACAGCGTGCAAGGCAGGCTGTGTGCCACAGGGGCATAGGGGCATGGCACACTCCCGGCCCTTCCCTGGTCACCCAGTGCTTCCTGGAGAACTGCAACCCCTGCTCCCTTGGATGGGGGTCCACCCCTTCTTTCCCTGGGCCTGCTGGCTGGAGAGGAGCCATTCAACTCTGGATCTGCCCATGTTTGGTGAGTCTGCTCCTGGATGAGGGTCCATCTGTAGTGGATATGGCACTGGTATCCTGGGAGTGGGCAGGATGTGGGGCAGGGCTGGTGGGCACCTGTTTCTCTCCCCAAGGGAGGAAGTGCAAGCAGAGGGTGGGGGGCGGGGGGTGGACGAGGAACCATCTCTCCTTTGTCCCGGGGGCTCTATGTCCTCCATGGCTCCAGTGTGTGCATGCACATGCATCGTGCACACATACACACATGTGCATGTACACACACACACACACACACACACACACACCCTTTTTACTGTAGAA